GCCTGATTCTCTCAAAGTAAATAAACCATGTGTTATTAAAAGCATAAAATGGGAAAACCCTGGAGGAATATAAGCCAAGCTATTAAATTATAAAATCGGTATCTAAGTTAGGACAAAAAACAAACTTTTTAAATTGTGAAACCACCGCAACAGTAGGACATAGAATTACCTGTCTAGCCTGATTCTCTCAAAGTAAATAAACCATGTGTTATTAAAAGCATAAAATGGGAAAACCCTGGAGGAATATAAGCCAAGCTATTAAATTATAAAATCGGTATCTAAGTTAGGACAAAAAACAAACTTTTTAAATTGTGAAACCACCGCAACAGTAGGACATAGAATTACCTGTCTAATATAGTTACAAAAATATTTTAAATACCATTCTCATCCAAACATCAAAAAATATAACAGTAATTTCATGACACAACTTTCTTTTGAAGATAAATCTGTAAGAGAGATCATATATGTAGTATTCATAACCAATAAGAAAACTGCAGAGAGATCATATTTGTCGTATTCATAACCAATAAAAAAACAAACTGTGTTCAGACATAATAAGGGCTATTTTTTCAAAATAGAACTGTATAACCAAAATATAATTTTCAAAAATGAAGCTTTCTCTTCGTCTATATCTTTACATGAGTATGGCAACTAACGTAGGAAAAGAAATCATTTGCCACTATCATGCAAGATCTAAGGAGCTTCTACATGATTACAATACCTTTCACATAGATGTAAAATTGATAGATTGAAACAATAAGATAAGTGGACTTACGTGCACCATTTTCATCTTCATGAGCATGTCTCATATGGCATCCTGTTAATGCATCATGTTGAAAAAAAAGTAAAAAATTAAAATTAAAATAAACTGCATGCAAAGTGCAACACCAACAGATTGCAAGCATTCTAAGATTGCTCTTTTATATCAATTTTCCTTCTAATATTCCATTTACATGTTAAATAGACAGTGTTACTGAACACTATAAAGACTAGAACAGCTGACTACTACATGAACTACATTGGTTTTTTCCCTTGCTACAACAGTCAATATATTTGTCAAAAGAAACTAGTTTTTTTAACATAATCAAAATACAACCAACTAAAACACATATAAGCAAATGTCTGTTTCATGAGTTTCAGCTATAAGTTAGGCCAACTAGATTCCCCTCAAGAACACAGATCTGCATGCAAGAGAGAAAAAGGATTACTCTGTTAGCCACAAAGAGAGGGGAAAAAAGAAGGTTACTCTGTTACTATTGATCATCAAAAATTTACAAAAGTCATGTTAAATAAAGAAGAATCATGTATACACAAGCAAGAAAGGAGTCAACAAGAGAATAAAACTACAGTTCAGAAAGTAAGCGTATTTAACTGAAATACCTCTAACAGTTCTCATTAGCCCATAATCATCAATAAGCCTTTGCCTAAGTGAAGCATACAAACCTAAGCAACTTGTAAGTTGTAACAAAGCATAAACCGAAATAAAGAACAACTATATTAAAGATCTATAAATAAGGGTTTGTAGTAACAAGATCAGAGCTCATAAAGGGAATTCCTCCCTGAAATATGGTTTAGCAACTAAGGTAGGATAAAACTAATGCTTTCATCTCCTCTATCAGATACCATGCGCCTATACTCCTGTCTAATACTGTAAATCATCCAATGCTGAATATACTAGATGTCTTCGCATAAAGTTCTCCGATTCCTCCACACATGCTGCAGTTCTTGCAACCACAAAGATACATTGGATCCATTTTTAGTATCAAAGCATTTGCTTCTATTGACCACAATCTGATATGCCAGTGTGACCTACCGTTCCGCTCGGTTTTGCCTTCCAAGATGGCAAGATATACCAATTAACACAAAAACTAATTTTCACCTAATGGTGCTGCAAACCCTTCACTGATAGGTACGCCAGGCAACGTATCAAGTCCGGTCAAATGAGATAGAAAAAAAACCCAACCAGCCCACACTGCAACACCTACCTTCCGTGTAGCAATTATGCTGCCAATACTGAATAAGGCCTGGTATGTGCCTTCCAGGGGTTGAATTTGAGTGTTTAGCATGAGATTTTAAATTTTTGGTGTAGGATTTTTATAAATATGACGTTTCAGTATAAAGAGCTGAAGCAGTAGTGTCTCCAGTAGAAAGGGGATGTAGCTTACCTTGAGTTAAAGGGGATGTAGCTTACCTTGAGTTGGGCTTTGAGTCTCTGGATGCTGGATCTGAGTTTATTGGTGGAGTTTGAGCTTTTCAGGATAGGACTGACTTTCTATCAGTGAGGTTGATGTTAGGAGATGAGACTACTAGGGCTATTCTGTCTGTTTGATGTCAACTTTCCTGAATATGTTTGAACTCATATATCATGGTAAAAGACATGTTGTGATTTTAATGCATAGACACGCTGGACAAAATATGCTACGAAAAATTGTATTTTCCACATCGCTCTGCAGCCTGTGTTGCAAGGGCTAACACAACACAGATCATGAAATAATATGTTGAAAAAATAGTTGACAAAAGTATTATGCCGGGTTCCCAAATCAAATGGTAAGCTAGAGTTAAAACCAGAAGAGAATCTGGTGTTCAGTCGATTTTCTTATTTGTAACTTTAAGTAAATAGAGCTGAGGTATATCAACTGTGGCTACAGAACAATGTATTAATGACTCAGATATGACCAAATTCTCTACCCTTTTGATTTTCTGGTCGGTTTTATTTGATTTCTATTTTTCTAAGCAAGGGCAAGAACATGCCAATAAAGGCAGAACATGACAAGCCACAGTGACACAACACAGGTTCTGAAAACTACAAAGAAAACGACAATTCCACAGCAAGAAATTCCACAGCTGGTGTAAGCGTCAATCAAGCATGCAGAGCATGACATGACCTCAAAATACAAGTCTCTGATCACTGGCTTAAACTTGGAAATTAGGGTTTATAGAATTGAATTCATCTATTGGTCCCTACTTGCAGCGACATGTTTCTTTTATTCTTGGCACACCAAAGTTCAGAATCAATACGTCCTAAGCACCCATACATCCAGATATTCACATATAAACTATGTTGCATACTTCCACATCAAGATGCAGAATTGTTTTATTTAATATACATAAATTCACAAATAACAGGGAGGGAAAGGAAAGGAATTGATTATGAACAAGATTTCAAAAGTGATTTCCAATGTCCTAAGCGTCAATACTCCAGCAACTCACACAAGTCAGTACACAACTCACCTTAGACCAAAATGAGCCAAAAGATATAGAACCATTATCTTTATATTGGACACCAAAACTATGCTAGTTACCAGCGATAATTTCTCTAAATATAATCCAACCCAAAGGTGGTAAGGACTCTGAATTATCAACATAACACTATCACCATGTTAGCGTACAAACTTAAAATCCTCAACTCTTACCATGGAGTTTTGGCATAATGGAAGGGACTTCAAGATGGCACGGTATCAGAGCAAAACGAATTTAAAAAGAAAAAGAACATACAGGGCTGTAAAATAGTCCAGGATTGGGGGGCCACCTGCATTGTGTGATAGACAATAAATTATAGCCCTCAACTCCCACCATGTTGTTTAAAGTTTTGGTGTATGTAAGAGACCTAGGACACCCAATAACAAAATGCACAAGAAAAGGTGGCACTGTTGAATATATCAGCAGTCATCCTCTAATTTTCAGCCCAAAAAGAAACAAAAGGCCCAGCTATCAGCCACAGCCCATGCCAAGTACACAAAAATATGGTACAGAGGCATACATCAAAATTTATCTGACTGAAAACGTATTTAACAAAACTTTTTATGTATGAATTAATTTCTATAACTGAAAATTTTATAAATGAAAGCAATTAGCAGACCCCAAAAATTGGATATAACATTTAGCTAAAGGTATGGTTGTTGTTGTTGGTAATTAGCTTGATAATGGATCCAAGACTTACGGTCTTAAAAGAATGAACAAGACTATCATAATCAATTCATGAAACTTCAACAAAACTGAAAAGAAGAAACATATATAGGGATTGAAGCCTAACCAGTTAATGTCATCCACACGTCATGATTTCTTAAATAAATGACAGGCCAACATTTCCGACAGCGACAAAGTAGAAAAGCTTTCACACCCAAAGAGTTGTTGAAGCCTGGCGTCACAATGTATCATTGTTGTGTTCACTGGATCCTAAAGGGAGGTAGAGCAAAAATAAGATCAACTAAAATGGAAATTTATGCTGAACTATAGACTATTGATAAAAGCACAATATAACAAGATAGTGATAATTCACTACTAGCAAAGTACTTATAGGTCAATTGCTCATCATTCAGTTTGCCTGGTAAGGTAAGATCATAAGACCTACATAATATTGAAATATCATGATACCTCAAAATGTTGGCTTACAACTTCAAGAGAGCAGTCTGTTATCTCAGTTAAATACTTCAAAGCAGAAAATCATAGAACCCTTTTATCTAAAAGTAAATAAATGCAAAATGTGGTTTTTTTCGCTAGACAAGGATACCAGGACTATCTTTCAGACATGGAATTTTGTAATAAGTTTTTATTCAAAGGGCTAAATAAACCATTCCATAAAGAATTAATTGACTTGAAGATAGTGCTCAGCAAACTAGGGTTTGAAACGGTTTAACCGACCAAACTGCACAATTTTTGGCCGTTCGGTTTGGTTATACAGTGAATTGGTCGGATTGGGTTATGTTTGACCTCCCAAAAACAAAAAACCATTTAACTGCTCGTATGTGTGATTTAGCCAAAGATTAGATGACAAAAGGAAAAGCCATGAGATGACAATGAATCCAATCAGCATTAAACCTCTCAAGAGTGACTGCATTTTATATAGTGTTATGTTTTACAAACTAAAGAAAAAAATTTGGCAAAGGAATGAAAGTGCACAAGTAATACTTGGATTGATTAGAAAAAAAGATTTAACTGCATGTATTTGTGATCCAAGTAATGTTTATCATACTACGCAACTGGATTAAAAAGATTAGAATATTAACGGTCATATTATTATGCACACGGCTAGTACTGACCTCAAGATGATTATCTTTTACATAATCCAGAATATGTTTTAAAGCTTCAGATTGGAGCATTTCCTTTGCTTCAGCACCCAAAAACATGGCCAGTGTATCAGAAACAACAACAGGTTCTTCACTAGCAGACTTAACCACAAGTTGTTCAGTAGCAGCATTAACAGCAGGTTGCTCACTAGCAGAGATAATCAAAGGTTGTTCATGAGCATCAGGTTCAGTTGCAGTGCCAACATCTTCAGTCTTCAATTTTTTAGCATCTGGACCCGTGTCCTCTGGAAGAATTAAACGATAGAGAGTTTAATACAGGTTTTCATAGCGTTACAAAAAGATCTTTGAAATTGAGCGATGACATACTTGTCTCATCCAGAGGAAGAATATGCTTAGCTAATAGCTTGTTCATCTTAAACATGTCAGTGGAGTCTGTCTCAAAGACCAGTCTTAATTCATCATTACAGATGATCTTCCTCTTGTTATTTGGATCTTGGAGGTTGTTTTTCCTTATGTATGCCCATAGTTGCTTCACAATCTAAATCAATAAAATAATTGTAAAATACTGCAAAAGGTTTTGCACCTAACAAATATTGAAAATTCATTCCTATTTAAAAAAATAAAAAAAATTACAGGCAACCAAATATGACAAAAATAATTTGTTTAAAGAAGACCTGAGTTCTTGGCATGGCCGGCTCGCCAACAATGGCCTGGAGTTCAGGTGAAACACCACAGACCTTGCTTAGACCACCTGGACCACCTCTTCTTTTAGCTACAGGAGGGGCACTGAAAGACATTGAAACGTGTGCAGAAATTCAAAACAAGCATTGTATAAAATGAGTGTACATTTTGAAATGCAAAAATATAACCACCATGGGGATATAAAGACATGCATATAGAACTTTCAAGGGTAAAACAGATTAGTGTCTGTCACGCCCTGGGCCCCCTAGCCTGTTGGCCCGTTGTAAACCGTGGAACCCACTAAGTGTAGTGTGTTGTTTGACTAGAACTACTGTCAAAATCAGCTAGTCGATGTCACACTTGAGTCTTGAACTTATCTATTTAAACTATTTAATCACACAACCACCAACGTGGGACTAAAGTTCACTTGGGGCATCACAAATTCACAACCACCCCACCTTACATACGCGACATCCTCATCGCGACATGACAATTTGCATATCACAGGATCACCACGGCGATGTAGATTCTAGAGATAGCTCCTACGAGTTCCAGAGATGGCTCCCACTGTGTTCATGCGGTGTAACACTTAGTCTCACATAGCACTTAGTTCCATATTTCCGACTAGCTAACTACTTCGATATCATTTTTCATGCCCTGAGCCTGCGAGCCCGCTGGCACGCTATAAGCTATGAGACCCACTAAGTGTAGCACGTTGTTGGCTCGAATCACTGCCAAAATTAACTAGCTATATTTGAGCCTTGAGCTTATCTATGTAAACCATTTAATCACACATCCACCAATGTGGGACTAAAGTTCACTTGGGGTATCACAGTGTCAATTCTTTTAAGTGAGGCCCAACCGCAAGACAAAGATACGAGGGCACAAGTGAATTGGTCCGTTTGATGGTGTGTTATAAGTCAAAAGCTTAAATCAGATTATGTTTTCATTTTCAAGTACATCAATATCTCCAGGCTAGTCCATCATGACTCACTTATACAGGTTCTAAGACTAATACTTCTGCACCTAATTCAACCCAAACCACAAATTCAATGCCTCAAACCCATCTTACAAAGTGAAGGCTGTTATGTATCAACATTTTACAAAAGACACCGACTAGAGTTTTCCAGCGTAAGAAGAGAAATATCCAAACAGTTGTTTCAGGATTCTTTTTTTCAATGGATTCCAGTATCTTTCTCGCCTCTATCATTCATCAATCTCTGGGGAAAAAACATTTCCCTTAAGACTGCCTCAATTTCCTCAAATTCTTTCATCAAATTCTTCAAGTTCGCAAAAAAAGAGCCCCATATTTCATTTTACATAGACGATGGGAATCCTGAAGGTTTCAAAGAAACCATACTTGGAAACATATCTGACCTTAATCATATGTATGGAATTAAAAAGTAATCTTTCAATCCAATCTCTCAACTGATGACCTATCAACCTGAAAGCTACATAAACAAATGACTTTTACCATAGCCATTTCAAAAGACTTCCAATCGCTCTGTAACCCATGAAGACGTCTCTGTTTCAGATATACACAAAACTATATTGTGCAAGCATGAATCTAGAATTAAACAAAAGTCCTAAAAAATTATGGAGCTGGCAGAAATACTTCTATTAAATCAAATCTAATATCCCGTATTCAAAATATAGGACAACAAAACTGACATAAATCTGTCAATCTGCAAAAACATAAAATTGGGGTTACCTTTTCTCACTTACAAGTTAACGAATAGTAATAGCCCTAACTTTTGTTATTATTGCTTAATCAGTGAATACATGATGTTCTTTTGGAAGTCAACAATTTCTGTTTCAACTTCGATAGGAGAGGAAGAAGTGTAGACCTTATGTCTATATACATGACAATCAACCGCATAGTACTACTGACTAGACATTTGCTATTAGTTTGATATTGCAAGCTTTGAAAAAAAATAATCCCACCGGTTTTACTCAAACTAATATGGAGCTAAATTGCATTAAGAAAATGGCTGACTATATCATTTTGAAACTTGGGATGGCCATCTGATTTTGAGTTAGACCAGAATGGCTTCATTAATAATATACAGAAGCACAATGGAGGCACCTTTCCCAATAACCAAGTCTTGGAAGTTTGATGTACTCTACATAACTGTCATTGTCAATGCAGTAGTTAATTGAAAACAAGGAGAACCTTACAGATGCAACAACATATTCTCCCTTATAAACTCGAGTAGACAACTACCCTAAATAACATAGAAAGAAGTAAAAGTTACTGTCAGAAATCAGCAAAATTGCACAAATCTTTTTGAAACAGACGAAGTATCGAATAAGAATTGAAACAAACCTAATTCCAAGAACCCTCAGCAGAAAAAGCATAATCAAAAGAGTTGGGCAAGAGGCTAAAGCAAGAAATCATGCTCCGCAAAATCTAACCCAAACCCTAATTATCAAAAAACAGCCAAGAACCAAACTTACTTCAAAGAATAAACCCCATTAAACCTCTTAAAGCCCCACAAAAAGTAAACCCTAATTCAAGGAGACAAAAGCCCCAGAATAGAAACCCAAACCCTAATTTCAAAAAAAAAAAGTTCTCACCTTTCCTTCATATCGAGCGCAGACCCAATCGGCCTCGAGCCCGGG